ATGGTGCTGGGGATTGAACCCAGGGCTGTGTGCATGCAAGGCAAGCATGCTACCAACTGAGCTATATCATCAGTCCCACTTTGTCCATTTTTAAATTGAGTTATTTTATCCTACTGACTTATTTGGATATAAACCTGTATCAGATACATATTTTGCAAATATTTTCTCCCAGACTGAGATTGTCTTTTCATTCTGTGGATATTTACCTTTGCAGAAGCTTTTTAGTTAGATGAAATGCCATTTTGACTATTTTTGCAGCCTGTGTTTTGGGGGTGTAGGTCATATGTTAAAAACTCATAGCTTACACCAAGGTCAGGGAGTTTTTCCCTCTGTTTTCTTCTTGTAATTTTACAGTTTCATGTCTTAAGATATCTTAAGTCTTAAATCTATTTTGAGTTATTTTTATATATGATATGAAAATAAAGCTCCATGTCATTCTTTAGGATTTTAGTAATTACATTGGTATAACTAGGTAATTCAAGATAATCTATCTCAAGATTCTTAATCACATTTATCAAGTTCCTTCTGTCTTGTGAGGTGACAGTATCACAGGTTCTGGGGAAAAGATGTAGATATTATTGTGGGGCCATTGTTCATGTTACCACATGTATACTTAAAAGTAAATGTTAATTTCTCTTGAACTTCCCTTTTCTAGTATGCAAGGCTCTGGGAGTTCAGACTTCTAGAGTTTTCATCAGAATCCCTTGGGTGTTGGTCAAGTATACACATCTTACAAACTCTGATCAGAATACATCAGTAATAGCTGCTGTCTGGTGAGCACCTGCTGTGCATGGGGTCAGTTACTAGAGGCTTTAGGTGCACTGCCTTTTAGCTTTTCATGAGCTGAATTGCTTTTTCTGCCAGTATCAACTCCCATAAAGCTGTTCATTATGAATTTTGATATCACAAAGAGGAGATACCTTGTGGTGGAGGTGTTGACTTCTGGGATGATGTCCATGGACTACAGATTTTTTCTGAATTGGGAGATCAGAATAATTGTTAGTGCTTCTTTTATAAAGGAAAATAAATAGACATTGTGTAACCCAGGGTCTACTCCTAGATATTTATCAAAGAAAAATGTTGATAGTGTATGTTTACACAAAGATATATACTTTAATATTCATAGCAGCTTTATTCATGATAGCTTTAAAACTGGAAACTGACCAAATGCTCATCATCTGGTAAGTAGATAAACAATTTTTGGTTTATCTATATAATGGAACACTACCCAGCAGTCAAATGACGGACTACTATTCCACTCAACAATTTAGATGAAGCCCAAAAGCATTAGGTGAAAGAAACCAAACACCAAAAGCCACATAATCAATGTAATGTACTGCTGAATTACACACTTAAAATGATGACAAATGTTATATTATTCCTATTTTACCACTTTTAAAAAAATGCTATATAACATATGATTCTGTTTATATGAAATTCTAGAAAAGGTAAAATTTATAATGAAAGAAAACGTATCTAATGGCTGTTAGAGGTCAGGGGCTGGGAGGGACTGACTACAAAGCACATGAGGAAACTTTTTGGGGTGATGGAAACATTCTAAATATAGTGTTGTGTAACTTAAGTCAAAACTTAATTGCACACTTAAAGTTGGCAATTTTATTATTTGTAAATTATCGTTCACTAAAGCACAAAAAGAGAAGAAAACATGGTTAGGAATTTGAGGGTGTTGAAAATTCAATGTCTTAGGATTTTACTTTGCTATTTTCTAAAGGTTGTGCATAAGATCCTAAGTAATGCAGTAAAGGGGAATATATTGTTTTTTCATCCCTCATCAGGTTCCATATGTTTAGTAGCTACAAACAATATATAGTGCATTTAGGATCCACAGAATTATTTAAAAGTTGCCTTAACAAGAATATCACAATCAGCATTCCCAGATGTAGAAGAAAGGAGACAGGTTGTTATTTCCTACTTGTGGTTCCTTTTGGAATGAGCTTTGCTTGCTTACTACCAGAGGGGTGATTCATTTGCAACATTGTTTAAAAAAAATTTTTTTTTAGTTATAGGTGGACACAATGTCTTTAATTTACTTATTTTTCTGTGGTTTATGGAGCCCAGTGCCTCACCCATGCTAGGTGAGCACTCTACCACTGAGCCACAACTCCAGCCCTCATTCGTAATATTTTGTTGTAACTTGGTGTCAACTTATATTTGTCTTAGACATTTCTACATATGTAGGGTAAGATCACATCAGTATCTTTTCACCTTGATGTTTCTCTAATTCTAGGCAAATTCCATTCTTTCTCTCTCAACGTTGTTATTCCCTCCCTCTCAATAGCATCCTTCTTTTGTGCTCTCTGGGAATATGGCACTCTGTTAATTTTGCTCCCATTACAGAAATACTTTCATTCCTTCTGGCTGGTATGTCTTTGTCCTTAGGTCCCTTATGAGAGCATAGCCAATTGCTTGGTTTCCTCTACACTTGCCTCTCAGGAATATCTTGTCCTCTCCTATAATAATCTACTCTGAAGCACCTCAGATCTCTTGTTCTAAGCTCTCATTAAACCTCACCTCTCATTTCAGCTTCCTTTAGGATGTTTCCACAGGCCATTTTGTTTTGTGGTTCTAAGAGACTGAACCCAGAGGCACTTTACCACTGAACCACATACCTGGCCTGTTTTTATTTTGAGATAAGTTCTCACTAAGTTGCTGAGCCTGGCCTTGAACTTGTGATTCTGCTGTCTCAGCCTTTCTAGTTGCTGGGATTACAGGTGTTTGTGACCTGGCTTCCATTTCCTGACTTACCATTGCCCAAACTAAACTTAATCCCTTTTCTTCTATTCCTCTTCCATTGTGTCCTTCTCCACATCTTTGAGACACTGCCACTCTTCCCCTTAGGGTTAAGGTCTGAAGCTCTGCCATTTTCTCTTTCCTCTGACTCCTCTACTCAGTTACTTTTCAGATTCTATTTCCTGCAGAGTCTCTCCCCTTTTTGGTCTTTTTGATGCCGCTTTAGTCTGGATCCTTGTTGTCAGCGTCTCATGACACCTTTAAGATATTCTCAAGTGAAAGCTTTTGGTAAGGATGACAGGTTTGTACACTTGGGGAGCCACTGTGTTACAAAATCCATGCCTCAGAGCCCTGTTAGGTGGCTGAATCACCAGATTTCAGAGCCTGACTTCCTTGGAGAGTACACCTTGTGGTTCCCTTTGCAGAACAGTTTCCTTGTGTGTACAGTTTCCCCTTTGCTGCCGTAGCCTCTGCTTTTTCAGTTACAGCTTTCCCACCTCATGAATACACCAGTGCTCCCTTGTTCCCTGCAAAGCCCAGGCTTTTATAGTTTGTGATACTCTTGAGATTATTTCAGGTTTCTGCTTTTGTGCTGTCTCTAGTCAGGTTTTCCTTCTCTTTATGCAGTCTTGTGTTACTAATCTTCCATCCAAAATGCAAAAAGAAAGTGCCTGATACTCTCTTTTCATCAGAGAGAAATTGAAAGAACAGCTCTATAAACAGAATTCATGTGCTAAATTCCTATATTAATCATTAAATATGTGTGTGTGTTAGCTTCCTTGTGTTTTGCTCTCTGATTTTACTTTGGGGCTAATTTTGTTGTTGTTCATTCCCCCCCAAATCCCCATGACCTGCCTTATTGATAACCCTTATAGCAGAAGTTACTTTGTAGACTTGGTTGCTCAGTTAAAGAACTATGGGGAAATTTGTTAACAAGAAAAGAAAGATTGAAGGTTGGGATTGTATCCGGGGTCTAGAGCATGCTAAGCATGTGCTCACTGAAATATATGCCCAGCCTAATTTGCTTCTTTTCTTCCTCCTTTCCTTTCCTTTCCTTATTTCTTTCTTTTCTTTTCTTTTTTTTTAAACATTTTTTTTTTAGTGAGAGAGAGAGAATTTTTTATCTTAAACAGAGAGAGAGAGAGAGA